GGGAGGAGATGGGGAAAGGAGAGAGTGGAAAGGAAAAATTGTGAGAAAAGAAAAACAAATGGAAATGAAGTATGTAAATAGGGAAGGGTGGAGGGGTGAAGGGCGCACAGGTAATGGGGAGAAAATAAGAACCAAGATACATGATGTACAGGTACATGCACCCAACGATAAATGTAAATGTATTGTAAACCTAAAATGTACCAATAAAAGAATTTAAGCAAAAGAAAAAAAAAAAAAGAACAACCATGAAGAGAAAAACAGGCAATCTCTCTTCCATCTATGGCATTCTTAAAAGTAACATGTGTGGGGGAAGGAAAAAATATATTTCAGGTTTTTTCTCCAGGTCATGGAATGAATGATATTTTCTGGATTATTTTGCTACCTGAAAATACTGAATGATCTGCTGTGTAGGTGAGGCTGGACTGTGTTGAATTCTTCCCTATAGAAAATTAGAGAACACCATGGGTATGTTGTGTCCAGCATCCTCATTTCCCCTGTGCCCGGGTTTCATCTTCTTTCCTTTCTAACTATCCTTCTCTCTGTTTTGCCTGTCCTTATGCCCATGAATGGTGGAGAAAGAAACACGTCTTTATGCCATGAAACTATGAGAGTCCTCAGATTCTGTGCTAGGTGTCTGCGTCCTGGGGAGAAGGCTGTAGTACCTGTCACACAGGCTTCACTTACCAAAGAAGACACAAAGCATCCTCAATGCCTATCATGTGTGGAAGAGCCGGATAGCAAGGAGTCATAGGCAGCAAATTAAGGGTGGAAGAACTTCAACCAAGGTGCACAGCAGGGCAGGTTTGTAGTCAGCTCTCTCCTCTACCTCACTGAAGACTGGTGGTCCTGGTCAGACTCTGGCTGTCACAGCATGAGGCACTAATGGGAGGGGGAAAGAAGGGAAGGAAAGAGGCGGAAAAAGGAATTGAGGTGTGTAATCTACATGTGCCAAATTGACACAGAGAATGTAAACATTGTATATTGCTAACATAAATAAAGAAATGAATGATGAATGAATGAATGAAAAAGGAGACCCTGGCTTTGGGAATGGATGGGAAATATCATCTCTAGGTATAGGAATGCAAAATCAAGGCTTGCCCAAGAAACAAGCCTTGCAGTGAAGGTACTCGGGAGAAGGAGACCAGGACAGATATACAAGTCCTCCTGGTGTGCCAAGCCCAGCTCAAGGAACCCGAACTAAGAGAGAAGCACCTGGGACCACAACATTCCCTACAAGGTGCACTCAAAGGACTTCACCCATCTCTTCAACCAGGTTACTCAAAGAGCTCTCATGTCCCTTCCTTTGCTCCTTGAAAGCTGAAGTAAGTTCACTAATCACATGGACCCCGATGGCTTCAGAATAATTGCCATTGCTCTACTTGGAGGTCTCTTTCTCTCTTCCTCAGGGAAGAGAGAAATTATATTATTATATAAATATGAATCATAAATTATGATATAATTTATATTTATAAATCATACTACATTATAATTATAGTTACTATATAAATATAATTATAAATTATATTGTTATATTCTGCATATAATACATACTTATGGGTAGGATATGACCTACTGTCATGAGAAGTATTACATACACGATATAAATGACTTTACTCCAGACAATTGTGAAGACGCTTGGAGGTGCTCTCTACCACAGAAGGTGTGTAAGTGGGAGACTCATGTCTGTCTCGTGGGAAGTCACCACCCCAGAGCTCACTCAATCTTTTAGGTGCTGTTCTAAGTCGCCTGCATTCTCTCCATCCAATCATGTCTTCTGGTTGGGAATCTGACCTCCCTATTGGCTACCTCGGCTCTTTCAACTGCCTTCTGCGTGATGTCATCCAACTGCCAACTTACCATTGGCTGGGAGAATGTTTTGAATTTCCACAGAGTTTTCTGAAGCGACTTCTGCATCGTAGTAAGTGGACGGTGTGACCAGTGCTCTTCCCACTGAATACTTGTTCGCTTTGGCTTCAGCCACCCAGATATCCTTCATTACCCTCTCCTTGTCCTTTGTATCTCCAATCGCTGTTACCCCTTCTCTGACCCTGTCAGGTAAGACCAATTAAGTTCAGAGGTCTTCGACATTACACATTCCCTTCTCCCCCAAATCAATTTGCTAGTGGGGACCAAATACTCGGGAGACAGGAGGAATGTCTTGAACTGGAAATCTACACACTTAATTTCATTTATGGCTTGAATCTTAGTAAGGGTAGGACTTTGGATAGATGATTTACTGTTTTGGTTTTTTTTTTGGTACCGGGAGTCAGAATACCGCATCCTTGGGTTTGCGCAGCAGGCAGGCAGCGAAACCGCTGAGCTAAATCTCTGGCCCTGATTTTCTCTTAAATAAAAGTGTTTCCTCACCCGCTCCCTGAGGCTGACCAACTGCCTATGCTTTGTTCCCTTTCTTTTCTAACAGCGTCTTAAAGGTCGTAGGTAGGAACAGAAACTCTAATCCAAGACATAAATTGTGTTTGTTTCAACAGAAAATGAGAGGGAAAAAAAAACTACCTGGGGTAGAAAACTGCCACTATTTCATCACTGCCAGTCTCCCTACACTAGTATTTCCACTTTGATTGTGATGATATTCAAAATAAACTATTCTTATGTTACAGAGATTTCTGTCTGTACTGGGTGAAAACACAAACAGGGAGACACCAAGATCAAAGGGCTGGGCTATACCCAGGCTGATACTGGAGGAGAAGGACAGCTGGGAGGGTTTCTGTGAAGCAGAGGCCAGCAGAAACTGCCTGGAATTGGAGGGAGAGGGAGGGGAAGATATGCAAAATAAAAGGGGAGAAAAATAACAAAAGGAAAAGAGATGGAGGGCATGGGGACATTCTCCAGAAAGGAAGGTGTTAGTGTGTGGTCTAGAATCTTGGAGACCACCAAAGGCTTCAGGGGACCACGGAAAGAACACAGAGTGCAATCTCTTAAGACAAGGGCAGAACAAGGTGGGCTTGCCCAATGCTGCCTTTAATGGTGTAAGAAGGAAACTAAGGCTAGCTTAGGGTTTCCCTTGGAGAATGCACCTTATCAGAAATGTCATGGCCCTGATTGCTTTGTTCCTCTTGCTTATTCCAACATAGATGCCACTTGATAATACTTTAATGTGAGTGTTTCGGTTGTTTCACACACAATTCTTCCTACATACATGCTAAAAACTCATCATCCAGAGGGCCAGGGAAACAATTTTCAGCTTCTATTTCAGATTGATTTTTAAACTAAAGAGATTTTTTTTTTTTTTGGTACCAGGGATCGAACTCAGGACCTTGTGCTTTCGAGGCAGGCACAGTGCCACTGAGCTAAATCCCTGGCCCTAAACTAAACAGATTTTTTAAATGATGTTTCTTACCCCTCGAGTATCAAAAAACCCACTCCCTTTGCATGCTTGTGAGTTTCAGCTGAAGAGTGCTTGTCATCTTTATGAAAGTTTTCTTCCTAAAACAGAATGCATATTTGCTATCAGCATCTTCATTAATAATTCATACTCATGAACAGTTTTTGACACCCAAGAAACCAATGAAATACCTGCTCACGTATAAGAAAGAAAATGTCAAGCCCCATATCTCTCATTCCACACTTATAGAAAATAATTTTGTGAGCTCCTGTGAGATTTCCTACATTTTAAAGAACTGTTTTAGTTTCTGTTCTCCTGGCTAAGGGAGGCTGAGGCAGGAAGGTCATAAGTAAAAGCCCAGCCTGGGCAAATTAGTGAGAATCTACATCCATACACAAAAACAAACAACAACAACAAAACAAATAAAGAAAAGAAAAAAAACCAATATCATTTTCTCTGTATTCTAGCAGCGACAGATTTGTTACCTTTTAGGAGTGAAATACATTCCTGATTGTTGAAGATGTTTATTTAGTAGATTGTGAGGAGAAATGAAAACTTTTATGCTTCTCTTCCCATGTGTCTTTCCCTAGCTTGTTATGTGAAAATAGCACGGGTCAAATCTGTCTCATGGGATGAACATCTGTTGCTTGGTGGGTGACAGTCAAGACAAAAGTGAATGAGAACAATAATGGGACTCCTGTATACTTGTTTGCACTCCATGCTGTGTGGGATTTCTTTTCTTTTCTTTCCTTTCTTTCTTTCCTTTCTTTCTTTCTTTCCCTTCCTTCCTTTCTTTCTTCTTTTGTTTATTTTTGAGATGAAGTCTCCACAGGTTGACTACTTTGGTCTCCAAATTGAATTCTGAGCTGATCAATCCTCCTGCCTCAGCCTCCTGAGTTTTGGGACTATAGACACATACCACTATTCCCACCTTCACACCAGGTTTGGAATATATAAGGTATGACTTGCTAGAATGTTCACATGTATTGCCTTTTGAGGCTTGTTACACACTTTTCACGGAAATTGTTTACCTGCCTACATTTATTCAGGAGAACTACATTCAAAATCACCATCTACTGGGGGCTGCCTTTGGTTTATCATGTTCCCTACAATACAGTAAATCATGTTTATTTTCCTAATGTTGCAGGTATAACAGCACTTTCTTTCTCCATAAATTCAGGATCCTTTCATGCTTGCTAAACAAACTAGTAAATGAACAGGCTGGGATTCTTGCACCTCATTTTGTATTATATTCCATATGTTTCTTTTCAGTCTGTGATGCTATATGTTCTTCACTTTACTTTCTATATTTCCAGCCCCCCTTCTATCTCCATCTTTGTTTATCACATGTAATATGTCCCTTTCATGCATGGGTGAACTGTCTCTGTGCTTATTTGCCTCACCACTTTGTAGATGAGTAACTTGCAGGTCAGAAAGTTTAAAGAACATTTTTCTTCCCAAATTCACTTCTTGAGAAACTAACCCTCAGTGGTCACGGTGACTTAGGATCAGAAGCTGGGCTTGAGAAGGGAAAGAATGACTCTTGCAATTTACCAACCACCCTGGGTTATAAATGATGCCTGGGAGACAGCGAGGGTCCTGCCCAAGCACAATGAGACACTAAAGATAACAATGCCAAGAGTCAAATTGTCTTCTAGCAAGTGAGTAGCAAAAATGTGGAGGTGAAAAGTTCCTTCCCTGCTGGTTTCTGGCCTGTGCCCAGCACACAAAGTCCCGAGAACGGGAAGTCATGCTCTGTAACGCGGTCCCAGTAGTACACCATGGGAGGACCCGAACAAGTCGATGGGCCTCTCCTGTCTCAGTCTCCCCACTCATAACTGATAAGGTTACAGTTCTCTAAGGATCTTCTAGGTCTGAAAGGCTCCAAATCCACCACCCAGGGTCATGAGTCAGTGTGAAGGCAGGCTGAAGGGCAGCCCAGGGTAGGCAAAAGGCTCTCTGGGTGCACAGAGCACACGTGGATGGGATTTATTGGATCTCTGGTGACCCAAGTCAGAGGTAGGTATTGGTATCACAAGCATCCTGATTACAAGGACTGTAGGATAGATAATATTGGTGCTCAGATATAGTGAGAATTTTTCTCTCACCCATGGTTGCATGGTCCTCTTGCTTCCTACAGAAAGTTTCCAAATCCCACCATCCATGGAAACCCCCAATCCTCTGGAGCTATCACCTTCCATCATGAGCAAGGCTGCTCCCTTAACAGCAGGTGCTCCAGCCCTCAGCTTCTGCCCTCAGCTTCTGTCACCTACTTCCAGCCAGTCATGGCCAGTTCCTACACTTACCAACACTGTAGTGAAAGTCAGTTTTCAGGGGCTGCTGGCCAGAGCCAGATGTCCTCTTTGGTTGCATCCTGTCCAGGTATTTGGCAGTGGGATGGCATGGCAGGCTCTGGAAGCAGGCATCCACCATTCGAGACCTTTACGGCGACTGTCACTAACCAGAGCACAACAGTTGTTTCCTCCTCTAGGCCTGCCCATGCCAATTCCATCATCCCCATTTATCCATCGATATCTGGCAGCCTGGTTCAGCCAACACCATCACCATACATTCTGAACCAAGGACACGGCTACTACCACTACAATCAAAGTGCAGTGGGGCCTCTGGTATCTGCAGAGCTTGGAGGACTGCAGTGTATGAGTTTGTGTCACACACGGGCAGTGGAGCCACTGCCCCTCAGCCAGAGATAGTAATGGTGTTGAAGGAGATTCAGCACAAAAATATTATAACATCAGCTTCTCCTGCCATCAGCTATTCTGGATCTGTGCAAGCCAACATGGAAACGAGTTTCCAAGGTGGGTACTGAGAGCAGAAACAAAAGGGATCGGGGTAACACTCTGCAGGAGGGATGAATCTCCTGCTGAGTACAGGTAAGCTTAGAGAAAGGCACAATTTCAGTCCTGAGATGGGCCCTGCTTCCAGACTCTGTAAGTAGGGAATGCATGACACCATAGTGACCATCTCTGCTGCACAAGAGCAGCCCAGGAGTCCACTGAGGCAGGCTGCATTTCTCAGAGCTCTTGCAGATGAGTTCCCCTTTAGCAGCCCTCCATAAGCAATTCCTCTTGGTCTTCTATTGCTGTGGTCCCTTTGGAAGACACTTCCAAGTTTGTGGTGGTAAGGACAGTTTCATTTCCCTCATTTTCAGCAAGATGCAAGACTTTGTATTTCAGAGATCCCATCCAAGGCATGTGCCTCAGTACCTGTCCTGCTCACATTTCACATTAGGAAGACTTTATCTCTCCTAGTCCATGGCAAGAAGTGTTCTTATAGCAGCAAGAGAGAAGAGCCCTGAGTGGACCTGAGAGAAGGAAGCTACAGTTGAACAGCTCTATCTGTGAGAGTGCACATATGTGGGTGCTTGCACATCTGCCTCTGTGTGTGTGTGTGTGTGTGTGTGTGTGTGTGTGTAGAGGGTATGGAGTGCACAGGGCCTTGTGCATAGTAGACAATACTCTACCACTGTACCAAAACATATCCTGATCTAAAAATCACTTTGTTTCCTTTGACTAAGAACAATCCTAGGACCCAAAAAGAAAGCCATAAAACCAAAGACGTCAGGTGATAAGCAGGAAGAACAGTTACCTCCTAGCTATAGAGCAAGGTCCTGTCCATGGTCCTTAAGGAGAGAGGATGGCAAGGCCTTGCTGACCCTTGGTGTGCTCCTGAGGGCTGTGCTGGTGTGAAGGGGGAGCAACTCACTTAGCAAAGACTGATTTTTCCCTTGTTTCATTTGCAGTAAAGGGAATTTCCCCAGAGACAGAGACATATCTGGGATGGCAAGCCGTGAGTCAGGCAGGGTTTGTGTCACAACTTCCAGAAATCACAGAGTCCTGCAGTAGCAGAAGTACCCACTTGCTTGAGGGAAGCCCACCAACTGAGTCTGGGGGCATTTCGGTGGGAGCTCCAGTGCAGAATGCCACTCATTCCTTGGCCTTGGATTCAAGCTGGGAGCAACCAGAGAAGGAGAGCTGGGTTGAGATGAGAAGTGCGGGCCTAGAGCCTCTGGGTGCCCACAAGATCTTTATAGGCACCCAAGATCCGCTTTTACTTTCCTTAGCATCCCCTGACTCTCCCAAGCTGCTGGCTTCCATTGGGCATCCAGTCCCTGAGAATCCTGGTTCTGAAGATGCCCTCTTGGCAAAGTGCCACCTGAGTCTTCAGGACCCAGGGACCCTTGACAAGGGGATTGAGTCCAGCCCGGTGTGGGCAGATGTTGAGGCCCTGGTAGAGAACATTCAACTTCCCCAGGTGCTCCAGTCCTTGGATGATCTTGACCAGTCCAACCAGCCCACAGCCATCAAAGCCCAAGACACTGATGGCTTTGATGAGAATTGTGTGCAGGAAAACTCAGCTATCACCAAGGGTCTTTCACCTATGGTGAGGAAGAAGAAATATAAAGCTTCTGAGCCAATCACTGGAGCTCCTGAGGCTAAAATGCAGCTGAAGGCCCCCGAGAGCCTGTCAGGGGAAGAAGGGTGCATTTTGACTGCAGCAGCCAGTGACAGGGCTCCCGTGGACACGGGTGAGAATTCCTACAGAAAATCTCCAATGACAGCATCCAGCAGAACCAACCAAGATAAGGGCTATGGGAAAGGGAGGGCTGAAAGAACCAAAAGTAACAATGGCAAGAAAGCTCCTGAGAGGAAGCAGTCAGGGCCTAAGGTCAAGGTGGAAGAGATGCCAACAATTCCTAACAGGAACCACAAGAGACACCAACCTGTGACTGGCCAAGAGGTATTTAAAAGGCCTCGCACGAGCCTAAGCATGCACATGCTGGAATCTGTGCAGGTTTTCCACCCTTTAGGGAAGAAGTTGTATAAGAAAGGTGGAAGCTTTTCCTCCCAGGCCCTGGGAGCATCGGGTATCACCAAAGATCCCAGGTTATCAACAAGCAAACCTTTGCCAGGGGTCCCACGTGAGGGGAAAATCCCTCATAATGATGCCCAGGACCCCCACAGCACTGCTGAAGCAGAGGCTTCATCTGCATCCCTGTGTGAGCTGCCACCACCTGGATAGGAGAAGTTAATACTGTTGCCTTTTCTCAGCCCAGCAAAGCCTCAAGCCCAACCCGTTTGCAGAAGGCCACAGCCTCCAGCCTCAAGGCAGCCCACTGTAGCTCAC